CTATTTTTATACTTTCTTAATGTTTTGACTCCCTGTCTTTCTTGGGGGTGGGGTAACTATTTGCCCATATCTGGGACCCTGACAGTTGCTGCCACTCCGGGTCAGGGTGAACCTGGGAACACCAGCAATTAAGCGGTGGTTCCATGCTCATCAAAAAACTCTGATCCAAGGCCTTGCTGTCGGATGTAGTTTATCGTCTAACCCAGGACTTGGATGTAGTTTATCGTCATATCCAGTACGGGTAACCATCTTGACACCGTTTGCTATAAGAATCACTGAACAAAGTCTTTGAGTCATTCAGCTAGAAAGAGAACAGGTTAAAATTATTTTGGTTTAGCCCCACTGTCTTCCCAAATAAGTGAAGATGAGGCAAAAATGATGATTCAGCCCTTCTGTAATATTACCAACATTCATACTCTGGCTTCCGTCTTTAAAGTCCACACTAGAACCATCAAGAAAACGGTGAATAAGTTTTAAAAAGGGAGAACAGTAGAGAGGGGAACTGGATGAGGAGGTCACAACAGCAAGAGGGGTCATCATTTCAACTTAGAGATAAAGAAATCAATTAGAAAAGATACAACACAATACATAAGATGTTTGGCCCGCGAGAGAGGAGTTTCATCTATGACAGTCCAAAGAGCAATGATCAAAGCCTTCAAAATGAAATCGTACGTGAAACGTGTACCGCAAATTATTACTTCAGCACAAAAAGAAAGTTAGAAAGTTAGAGAGAGCAAAGATCTTCTTGAATAAGTTAGAAAATGATCCTGAAATAATATATATATATATATATATATATATATATATATATATATATATATATATATATGAAGTTAATTTCAATCCTTCATGAGCTTCCGATCCTTAGCTATGATTAATTAATGATGAACATATAATTTTCGTTTATGATCGATTTCATCACGATTCTTCTGCTATGCTTGGAGAGTAATTATGCATTATTATTACTCAAAGTAAAGTCCCATAGTGTTATAAATACCTCGGAGAATTCCAGTAAGATATATTTAATCCCTTCTAAGATAGAACGGTTCAAATCTTAATCCAACAAATGGACAATTTTGCTGTTACATCTGCTCTAGATTTCAAACAACACCATCACTTTTGTTATAATTTTTGTCTAAATATTATTTGCTTTTCTTTGTATTGGACACTCTTTTAAGAATAGCGTTTTCAGTTATCGGAATTTTATTCCATATATACCAACCCTATATGATTAAGGCAGATAAAATTTCTCGCTTAGGTGATTGATGTTATATTTAGTACATCGACTCCAGAGTTTCGTGGATGAACCTTTTTGTAACCATTCATTCCACTCATCAGGAGGTTTCAGTGCTGTTTTTTCTCATTTATACTAAATTTGATGTAATTAATTTACGTACTAGTTAATGGTGTTAGGTCAACAGAAACTCAAGGCATGGGGACATCCTAGGGTAACATTACTTCATTGAGATGGGCGAAAGTTCTGGATCAGGTCGGCGATATTAGAATGCCATTAGTTTGGTTTTCTGATTTGATTTATCGCCTTTCTTTCTTTCCACTTTTTTTTCACGCTCTTTCCCACATGTTTTCTTCACCAAGGCAGTATTGGATTTAAATCAGGAGAGTGTAGAGTACCTCGGTTTGCTCACTTGTAAGGATTGCCATTGTGTTCGTGCAACGTTACAATTTTCATACGCTTCATTAGAGTAACGTCCATCACAGAGAATGGCCGTAAGACAACTAATCGACAGTTGAGACATTAGTGTCTGGGAGTGATAAAAATCTGATGTAATCACGAATGACGCAATATATTTTAAGGCCAAAAGAAATTTCATCATACACCACGAATATAGATTGATATTACTGCACACAACTACAAATGAGCTAATCTGAGGACAAAATAGAAATCCATTATACCTTGTCACTCCAGTGAGTCTAAAACTGACCGTATGGTGAAAGAAAGGGAACTAAAGCGATTTTCAATTAATTCGCAGAAGGGGTGTTTATTTATTTATTTATTGTGGGTTTCGTCTACTTTTGCTTGGGTATAATTCATCTTGAAACATTTTTCACGAGTTGTAGTAATAATTTATTTCATTTCTTTTTTTTTATGTACTCTCCACGCAGCCCTGTCCGTTTGCGATATTTTGCATGTGTCTTTTAATTTCTCTCTGGAGAGTTTCCTCTTAAAGTTTTTACATTTCTTACTGTGTTCCCCACTCTTCCTGCCTTTATCACTTTCTTTTCTGTTACAAATAACTTCATGACAGATATACAGTCTTTGTGGCTGGGAGCAGAGCAAGGAAAATTCTCGACATATCTTCAATTCTTTCTTTATTTATGTCGAAATCAGCTGTTATTATTATTATTATTATTATTATTATTATTATTATTATTATTTCTTTTCATGACTTATATTATAAAGTTTTCATTCTTGGTTTATTATTTTAACTATTAGTGATGTGTATTGTTTAGCGTCTGTATTATTATTATTATTATTATTATTATTGCTATTATTTCCGGGTAAAGATCACGACAGCAAGTTATTGGCGTTTTGCAGATGTTGTTGGCGGCAAGTTAGAGAAGGAGAAGACGTCAAATTAGTGCTCGCGTCTGGTGAAGTCGAGTAGGGACTTGCCGAGATAAAGATTTGTGAACACAAATCATCTATTAGTAGATCGTGCGTAGAATTTGGTACGACTTTCACAAACAGATGTTTTCGAGAAAGGAAGAATCGAGAAGAGGGCGAAAACAAAGGGTGTGGGTGGAGAGCGAAAATGGCCAGCACTAAAAGCGGAAAGAAAGAAAGAAAGAAAGAAAGAAAGAGAGAGAGAAAGAGAGAGAGAGAGAAGGTTGGATGAAGTACTCGCTGTTGAAGAAAAAAATAAACAAGAAAAAGGAGGAAGACCGTGGAAGAGGAAAACGGTCAAGAAATGGAAGGACCCATAAATACATGTAATAGGAAAAAAGGGGACAGGAAAAGACAAAGACTAAGGAAACAGGAACGGAAAAAAAATACATATATATTAATAACTCTGCGGACATCGGGTAGTCTTGGTGAGCACAGACATTGATTAATCTAATCTTCTTCTTCTTTTTCTTCTTATTTTTCTCTTCTTCGTCTCCTTCATTTTCCTCTTCTTCTTCACCTTTTTTCTTTTTCTTCTTCTTTTTCTATTTTACTTCTTTTTTCTTTTTCTTCTTTTTTCTTCTTCTTTTTCAGATTTTTCTCTTCTTCTTTCCTTCTTCATCTTTTCTTCTTCCTTTACATTTCTTTTCTTTTCTTTTTTCTTTTTTTCTTCTTTTTCTTCTTCTTCTCCTTTTCTCCTTATTTTTCTCTTCTTCTTTTTCTTGTTTTTTTTCGTCTTTTTCTTCTTCTTCTTTTCCTCTTTCTTTTCTTTTTCTTCTTCCTCCTCTTCTTTTTCTCCTTCTTATTTTTCTCTCTTCGTCTTCTTTTTCGGCTTCATTTTCACCTTTTTGTTCTTCTTTTTCTTCCATTTCTTTTTCATTTTCTTCTTTCTGTCTTCTTTTTGTTTTTCATTTTCTCCTCCTCTTCTTCTTCTTCCTTTTCTTCTTTTTTCTTCTTTGTCTTTTTCTTTATCTTTTCTCTTCTTCTTTTTCTCCTTTTATCTTCTTCTTTTTTCTTCTTCTCTTCTTCTTCTTTTTCTTCTTCCTCCTCTTCTGTGTCTTTTTCTTCTTTTTCTTATTTTTTCCCTTCTTCTTTTTTCTTCTTTTTCTCTTCTTCTTTCATTCTTTTCCTCTTCTTTTTCTTTTTCTTCTTTTCCTCTTCTTCTTATTTTTCCTCTTCTTCTTTTTCTTCTTCTCTTTCTTATTTTGTCCTCTTTTTCGTCTTTTTCTTCTTATTACTTTCTTCCTTTTTCTTCTACTCCCACTTCTTATTATTTCTTCTCTTCTTCTTTTTCGTCTTTACCTCTTTCTTCTTCTTTTTTCTTCTTTTTCTTTTTCTCATTTTCTTCTTCTTCGTCTTTTCTTCTTTTTTCTTTTTTTTCTTTTTCTCCTCTTCTTATATTTTCTCTTTTTGTCTTCTTCTTTTTCGTCAGTTTTCCAGTTTTCTTCTTCTTCTTCTTCTTCTTCTTCTTCTTCTTCTTCTTCCCGTATCCATTCGACACGTTGAAAATAGTATCTTTCCAAATGCCCCACCCTTTATAGCCCTTACCCTGTCAACAATCTACACATGCGCTTGGGTTAGTATATTCACTACTTTTTTCTACGCCACATTTCTCCAAGACGTGCTGTGAGTATCACATTCTATGAGCCGTCTTTCCTCATTATAGACCCTAGATATATCAACTGTTTCTTACTGATTCTATTTCCATTTCTATTTTCTTTAAAATCTTCCCGTTAATAAAATGTTTCGTCCCTGGTATTTTCGCCGTCCTTCTGTAGAACGGACATTTTCTTGGCTTTCAGTCGCCTCTTCACCTTTGATGTAATCCTCCATCATTCACTGCAAAGAGGAGTTATGTTACATAGCTGTTCAGAACTCGTTTGCTTTTGCTTTATTCCTAACGTTTTACTGTTTCTTGATAGTTTGCTTAGCTTCCGGAAGGTATTTTCTTTATGCGAATAAACCTACGCGTTCCATCCTCTGCTAAAACTCTTGCAAGATATTTAAATGTCTGAATTTGTTTTCATTTTGACACCTCCCAACAAAATGAAGATGTTTCTTTTTTCCAGAACTGTATAAAAAAAAGAAGAGAAAAAAAAAGATTGATACATTTTTTACGGTTTATCAACTCCTCCATGGTTATTTCAAGCCAGAAAATATTTTTTACATTGTAAGCGTGTTTTTGCAAATAACAATTCTTTTGCGATACAAGTTTTACTAATTAACCCATAGCTGAAGGGGAAGAGGTGGATTAACACTTTTTCTCAAACGTATCTGTGCGTAAGTGAATATAACGAACCCAAAGGGAAGTGGAACCCAGGTCTCCGGTTAACAATTCCAAGCCATTATCCATTACACCACCTACACATCTAAGCTTACGACACTTGGCATTTCCAAGCGGTCGCCCATCAAGGTACGGACAAGGCTTGTGATTGCTTAACTTTGGTGATCCTACGGGAACAGGTGTTTCAACATGATGCGGCTGTAAGCCGAGTCAAAAAGAAAAGGAAATACATCAGTAGAGAAAAGAAGAGAGACTTTCTCTTTTTTTAAACAATTTGAAACGTTTTTTTAAGAGTTGAAAAAAATGAGAAGGACAAGGAAAAGACTGAAGAATATGTCCTTTGTAGAAATGCTATTAAAAAGAACAAAACGGTGAGAACATTAACGAAGAATAGCTTAGAAAATATAATTTTTCTTTTTTGCAGAGCGGATAGAAAAAAAAAAAAAACAATAAAAATGATGGCTATAGAGAATGGAAAAAAAGTTTTTTTTTTTTTTCCGGAACTGAACGCAAAGAAAAAAAAAGGTGTGGGGGGGGAATAATGAAATGGCAGAAAAAATTAGAGAATATAATAAAAAAAAAAAAACTTTACAAGATTTGGCATTTTTCCCTTTATTCATGGCATTTGATTTGGTTTTTTTATTTAACGGCATATCAACACCTCATGGGTCATTTAATACCGAAATTCAAATTTCTTGGAAGCTTTGAAGTAATAAGTATATGATATATTTTATTCTGCTTTCACAATTGAATACATGGTAGATGATGCACAGCTTTTGTGCAGACTTATAAAAACAAGATTAAAGAATTAAAACCACAATACTGCTGGAATTGGAACACTGAAGTCGTTGAAGATTTAAAACATAATATGCATGATAAATTCAGGGAAATATTGTAAGTGATTTAATGCTTTTATTTTAATGGTTTTATTTTAATAATTTTATTTTAATGGTTTTATTTTAATGGTTTTATTTTAATGGTTTTATTTTAATGATCTTATTTTAATGCTTTTATTTTAATGCTGTTGCTTTTATTTCAATGTTTCTTTTATGTCATAACCAATATAAATTGATTGATTTGTTTGTTAAGCATCATATCAACTCCTTATTGGTCATTTAATGCCGAAATTTACTCTTCTTGGGAGCTTAAAAAATAAATATAAGATATATGTTATTCTGCTTTCACAGTTGAATACATGGTAGACGATACTCAGCTTTTGTTTATAGACATGTTTGTGTGGACATAATTACAAGAGGCAGTGATATGTGTGCTTATGTTGTAGTTCTGTTGCGTTATATTTTGTAATACATTTCGTTTTCTTTAACAAACTAGGTTTTTATACGGATAAATGTCATGAATAGGTTCATATTAGTTTTTTGGTTTGTTGGTTGGCTGACTTTTTTTTTAAAAGAATTCTATAGGTCATTTACTAGCAAAATCTAAATATTTTCAACGCAAGGATATGTTTTCAACTACAAATAAAACATAGTACTAGACATTTTGCCTTCAAAATTTTATTGTTGGCAATTTTATCATAATTATGTATTGTTGATTATTTTACTATAAATGTGTTGTTGGTCCTTTTATTATAAATATGTATTGTTGGTCATTTTTTTTATAAACATGTATTGTTGTGTGGCACCATGCATCCAGGCAGAGAAAGAAAGGCAAAAAGGAAAAGGAAAGAAAAGAAGAAAGGAAGGAAAAAAAGTAATCGAGACGGATCATAGGTGATAAAGAAAACACACACACGGCTTAAGAGGCAAAAAAAAAGGGTTATTTTGGATAAGTGGCAAATGGATGAAAAGAGTGTCATTACAATGACAATGAGATTGAGTGGGTAGGGAATAAAAAGTTATCTAAGGATATGAAAACAAACTATTGGTACGAGAAGGCATCTTATTATCAAAACACAGGCCAAAGAATTGGGAAAAATTCAAGCGAAAATGTTATTTCGATAAGTGACGACAAGAAACAGGCGACTAAAAAAAAGACTTTGGACAGATATGAAAATTAAAGGCCACCTGCGAACAATCATTGACCGATTTTCCTACTTGGCCTGCGCGAATGGAATTGTGTTATCAAGAAATGTTCGCCAAAGAAAGTCCACTTGAAAACGTTAGATTTTGATAATTGACAAAACACAGGTGTAGGCTTGGAGCCTTAGCTAGATATGGAAAATTAAAATCCCACACAAGCAGTCTCGCTAATTAAACTCTTTTTCGACAAAACAAACTTTTGCCCTGCGATAATAAAATTTTGTTATCAGACACATGAACCGAAGGAAAATGAATGGAATAAGAAATGTTTTTATTTCTTCCTTGGAGACGTCAGACTGACTGAAAACTTGGAGAAAATTCTTTTCTGAGGCCATGTCGGAAAAACCTGATGATGAATTAGCGATAAACTGCTTGACAAACGCCACGTGTTGAACAAAGAGTTGTCATATTATCCGTTCATGATAACGGCGATTTGAAAGGAAGAAAAAAAAAGGAAAGAGAAGGGATTAATTTTTTTTAGTTAAGCAAGGTATTTTTTTTCCGAAACAAAGCCGCGGGTTGTTCACGCCCGACTAAGACGTCATTGGTCAAGTGGTGATCACATGACGCACGAAGGAGGAGGAAAGATACCCGACCAAGACCTCATTGGCCGAGAGTGATCACGTGACGCACGAAGAAGGCTGTCGACGCCCCCATCCAGAGTATAAGTATGAGAAGCCGCTACGAAGAAGTGGGGAGGGCAGTTCACGCCCCTCAGAAGCATGGTGAGAAAGTGGGAGTGAAAAAAAGTTACCAAAAATGGAAAAGAGTGGAAAATCCCTAACCAGAAATAAAAGAGGTGGATATGTATTTAGAATTATCGAGGAACCCCTGACGCCAAACAGACCCAACCCGGTTTTTGTCGGCGTCAATAAAACCAGGCCCCAACAGGCAGAAAGGCAGTTCAGGCGAGTTGAGACGGCGGACGAGGCCCAGACGAGAGCCGAGCCCTGACAGAAGAGATGAGAACAGCAGAGATGAGAGTTCGTTCGCGCCCTGACGGCAGAGATGAGTGTCCAGTTAGTTCAGGCCCTGGACGGCAGAGATGAGTGTCCAGTACCAAAGCCCTGACGGCAGAGATGAGTGTCCAGAGTTCGAGCCCTGACGGCAGAGATGAGTGTCCAGTAGTTCAGGCCCTGACGGCAGAGAAGTCAGTGTCCAGAGTTCGAGCCCTGACGGCAGAGATGAGTATCCAAAGTTCGAGCTCCAGTTTCCAGAGTTGAAACCGCCTCAAGATAGCTGACCAAGATTCACGCAAAATTTTGGACTCCTCTTCAACCAAGAACAATTATTTTGAAGAGCGACTTAGAACCAGACCACAGAAATAAGTTTTTTTTTTCGACTTTCGTCCAAAGACACACCGAAACACAAATTTCTTAGAGAGCAAACAACTTGAAGCGTTAAAACTTGCCTAGCGAAAACGACGTGTCACAATCCACAGAACGGGTCGGGAGATAGATGCAGTCCTATGTATCGAACAACTAGACAAAAAGTTTGTTACCTTTTTCTTTGATACTTTGAACTTTTTTGAGTTTTCATTTTATTTTCTTTTTATGCATATTTGTGTGTTATCACCCCCGTTGAACTCAATTTGCATTACGGCCCCAACCCCTGTTTGATCTCGTCTGTCTAAGATCAATTCACAACGTGGGTAGGCAGACTGGAGATCAGTGCAGTTACCTTGGTAACCAGGCGTTGGAAGCGAGTTGGGAACGGCGAGGCTGATATCAAATCTAACCAGATTCCCACCCGAATCACCAAAAGGTTAGAACGTCACATTTGGGTGCCGCGACCGATACCAAGCCAGTTGGTCGTCACAGGACGAGACAACACGACTGACGCGACAGGCGAACGTCACGTTTGGAGCAGCGACACCCGGACGGAGCAGCGAGGAGCGAACAGCTGGCGCCGCGGCGAAGACGTCACAATTGGTGCTGTTTAGGGACGTCACAACTGGTGTCGTGACCGGGATAGGACCCTGGAACGGCCACGTCACAACTGGCGCCGTGGTAGATCAGGATAGAACGTCACAGTTGGCGCTGCGACCGGGGGACGACGTCACAGTTGGCTATTTTGTTATAAATATATATTTTTGGTCATTTTGTTATAAATATATGTTGTTGGTCATTTTGTTATAAATATGTATTATTGGCAATTTTACCATAAAAAAATATTTACATTTAAATATTTTACTATAAATATGTATTACTGGCAATTTTTTTTTTTATATATAAAGGTGTATTTCTGGTATTTTTGCCAGGTGCTACTACTCCGGGTTAGAATGGGCATGAGAACAATTGCAATTAACAGGTGGTTTCACGTTCCTCAAAACCTTCAATTTCCCGATCAGAGACCTTGCTGCCGGATGTAGTTTATCGTCATACCCAGGACTTTTACTCATGACTATTTTTTCTGATATTTCGATTTTTATTTTGTGATCCTTCCAGGCGATTTTATGTATCTCTTCTCTAAACCAGAAATTGTTTTTAGCATATTCTATTGTATGGTCGTGTCGTCATTTTTTTTTGAAAAATTCCCAATGGATCACCATTCGTACCCATTTTCGTCCTATTCTTTTTTTATTATTATTATTACTTTAGTTGTTTCTAGTTCCGCGTTGTCTGCATCAGTTATCCTCTGGTGTCCTATCTATCTTGCCTTTTATACCATTGCTTTTTGTGTTTTTTTCGGACGCCATTATCTGTGATTTGTTTTTTTCCGGTCAGCGTTACTCTTCCCTCTCCTCTTTGTACTATCATTTATAAGCACCAAAACCAACACCACCTCCACTAAAACTATAACTACTTTTACTAATAATACTTCTATTTCAACATGGTACTCTATACATAGTATCGGTCGAAAGACTTAGGCCATTTTAAACTATTCGAGTGCTCGAAAAATGATTTCATATTTACCGGCATTTTGCTATCGCAAGAATTTACAATCGTCATACTAATACTAAAGCAAATGGTTAAATAGTTAACACATTCAGACTAGGAACCAGTTCCTTAATGAATTAAAATATGTCCAATGCTTGCGGAAAAACTACCAGGTCGTAAGCCAACGGTTACAGGGAGAATGTAAAATTCCAAAAAAAAAAAAAAGATGATTTGGCAAAAAAAATAAAAAAAAAAATTTATTTCAAATTTCTT